AAAAAACAAACCCTTCAGTCACAGATGACATAATATATCAAGCATTTAAAGCCTTCATGAAACATTGATCATCTGATAATCAAAATGAGGTGTCAAAAACAATCAGCAATCAGTGTGGGCAAACTCTAACATGGAAAATTAAAAACAAGCGTTTTAAAATACAAAGCAATTCCATAAAACACAAAGAAAAGACACAATATTCTAGCAGGGAAATGTAAGAGAACTGTGTGGTAGCACAAACCTATAATATGATCAATCAATCAGGGGGTTGAGACAGGATGAGAGCAGTTTGAGGGTATACTGGGACACACAGTGAAATTCCTTCTCAAAATGAAACAAAAAGTATGAAGTAAAAATCTTTGAGCTGAAAGATACAATGAGTAAAAGTAACACTATAGAAGGCATCAAATCAAAGATTTTCCATGTTCATGGATAGGTACAATTAATATATTGAAAATGGCTATACTCTTGAAAATAAATCTACAGATTAAATGCAATTGCAATCAAAATCCCAAAGATATTTTCACAGGAACCAAAAAAAAATCTTAAATTTCTGTCACCTTTTCTAAATGTCATTACACTCTTCATTATTCTCCCTAGGTCTAATTTGCATGATTAAACCCCTTCCTAGGCAAGTGATCAAATATCCCATTTCTCAATCTTGAGACAGAAATTTCCTCTTAAGTTTTCTTGAGAAGTATAGTTTATTTCTGTACTTTCTACTGACAATTTAAATATTGATAGTGGCCAATATTACATCTTCCTGTCATAGATGTGTTTTCCGAACTCTGCATCTCAATATTCAATGAGACTCTTGTCATCTCTAGCTAAATGAATAAAAAATATTTCAAAATCATGTAAGACACCAAATTGAGATTTAAAAAAATCTCCCAATCTTGCTTTTCTTATCCTTTCTGCCAATTCTGCAAACTGCAAGTCATTCAAATGCAAGCCAAAATCTAGGTAGGGTTCAGCCTTAATATTTCTCTCTCACCTATTGTATCCAGTCAAATAGTAAGTCTTGCATAGTTCTCATATATTTCCATATGTTATCATCTGGAGTACAGAAATGGCAAGGGTCAGGTCTAGGATTCACAGCTTCACACATACAAAATGTGTGAATAGCTCCTCATATCCTTAGAATTACTACACCTGATGGCTGTTCAGTTTCAAATTCTTATGCTACAGGTCTTTGTGTAGCAGTTACATTACTTTGTCCACAAAATTTATAGTAAAGATTTTTAGTTATTTGGATTTTTATAAAAATTCTACACTACTCTTGCAATATAGCATAATTATATGTAACTGAGAAGTGACTTGGTTTGCACTAATGGACTACCAGTAGTTAAAAACTGGATTTTGTTATTTGGTTAGTTTCTTCATTCTATTCATGTTAATTATTGAATTGATTTCATTTACCATTTTACTGTTTGTCAAAATGAATATAAACTATCTCAACAATTAACTAATAGGACCCATGACAAATAAAAGTGAGTTCCTTTTGCAAGTATGGATTATATTTATCATTAAACAAAACTAATTATGTCAATTGAAAACCCCAATTAGCTAAACACTAAATTAATTTCATTAATCTAGGGATAGCAAAGATATTGTGAAAGCACACAGATTTGTTGCTATACTGAGATAAGGCAAAAATAAACATACTTTATGTTGTTCATAGGACATGTCGACCTTTCATAACTGTGTTAGTATACTAGAAAGCTTTAAATATTTCATGAAATATTTTTATTCTAATAGTCTAGAAGGCAAGAATTATGTATTTCATTTCCTAATTGCTAGTATGCAAGATATTATGCCATCTGGTATCCAATTGTCTTTCCAAAATTATCTCTCAATGTTTTGTCTCACATATTCTGTGTTCTAGCCCAAATAAATTACTGTGCTTCTCCTGAACAAGAAATAATTCTTCACTCCTCAGTGCCTTTGTCTCAACTCTCCCAGCGATGCCATCCCATGAAACCAAATCTATACCATCTGTAAAGGTGTAGCTAAAAATTCAAGTCAACAATGAGGAAATCGTACCAGATTGCAACAAATTATATTACTTTAATCTTCCTCTAAAATTCTAGCACACCTTGTAAATCTGCAGGTAGGAACCCACCACATTCAAATATTCATTACACTATACAGCTATCAATCAATCTAAAGTAATTTTCAAGAATAATCGTCTTTTGACTTTGTATTTTCATTTTATCCCTCAATATCTACTCAATGAGTATTAATTGAATAACTGTCTTCCGGAGATGCAAATGGCAGCATTTAAGTGAAATCCTTTCAAAAGGAAATAAAATTCACTGATTTCTTTTTACCTTAGTAAATATCAGCATTTCTTTGCTAAATGTAACTAAGTAACTCTTTTATTTGCATGACACTTTATGTACTCACCTTGAAGTAGATAAATAGTTAAACGTAACTCATTTACCAAAAGAGTACTATAGCTGACATTTTTTGGTTTATTTTTAGAATAGTATTTAGATTATTAGTTTATTATTAGTAAAATAACATGTAGTTATCACTAGTATGTCATTAGTGTACTTACCTGATATTAGCAAGTGGAACATTTTAGTTATTCTAGCATTTAAATCACAAGCTTTTTGCCTATGGAAGGAAGAGCAATAGTACATAAATGAGGAATTTAATACTTTCTACAAAAAGGGTAAGTCACTGCCTTTTCCTACCTCTGCTACCCAATTTGATATATATATATATATATATATATATATATATATATATATCTGTTTTGAAGCATGTGAAAATTTGGCACAATATGATTACTTTCTCATTAAACAAAATCATTCTCTAATGAACAAAGAATAAAGAACAAAATAAATGTAATGCGTGTGGAAATGAAATAAATTCTGAAGATAATTTCATGTGTACTGATGATAGAAAATAATACCGATGGGAAATAAAGTACTACATAAGATTTTTTGGGAATGAGCCAGGTGTGGTGGTGCATGTCTATATCCTAGATACTGAGGAGGCAGAGGCAGGAGTATCATGGTTTGAGGCCAGCTTGGGAAAAAAGCACAAAACCCTATCCTAAAAGCAAAAAGGACTGAGGCATGATTCAAGTGGTAGAGAGCTTGAATAGCCAAAGAAAGAAAGTGGAGAAAGGGGAGAAAAGGGAGCAAAGAAGGAAGGAGAGGGGAGAGGAAGTAGGGGGAGGGAGAAGGAAGAAAGAAAGTAAACAGGAAGAAGAAAAGAGGGCAGGAAGGGAAATGGCATAGAAAGAATTTTGTTACATATAAGGGGAAAGGCCCAAAAATGTTGGAAAAGAGTTCATGGTCATAATATGTTGAGTGATGATTTAATAATGGCTCTATTTTGAAAGATTATATATGCATTTTTCTGGGGTTTATGAGAAATACACTCAACATGCCAATCAAATTAGTTGAGCTTTTGCAGACCTCTGTTTTCTCAAGAACTTGTTACACCTCAATCCAAGGTTTGAACTCTTTTCCTGTGATTGCAGTTATCACTTTTTTCCAAAATTCTGACATGTCTGTTTTAGTTGATCTGGAAAGAAATCACTCTCAATCACGATAAATTTTTAAGATAGAAAATGAAATTACTAGTAGGATTGGAAAACATTATGCCTATGCTCATAATTGGCCTTTTACTGTGCTCAAAACATGCAGCAAAGATCCAGTCCCCAGCTGGCATCTCTTGCAGCAAAATGAGCTGAGCTATGTCATAGTGGTGACATGGTCAGCTTTTCTTTTATAGATCTAGTTCAGCTAAGTGTGTTCAGTGTATGTGTGTGTGTGTGTGTGTGTGTGTGTGTGCGTTTCCATATTGAAAAAGTGATAATTTGACAAATGCTGTTAAGTCAGTGACCCAACAAATTTTTTCCCTCCATAAAGAGTATATTACATAAGAAAAAATACATTAAGACCTTCAGAAGTATAATTTTGTTGAAAATGCAAAGCAACATTTTGGCAAAGACTCATACAAGGAATTTTATGTAGCAAATGGTAAAATGAAAAGATACAAGCTTTCAGTCATTGCTTAGCAACAATCAACGATCAGTGCCAGAAAAGAATTGCTAACTATTACAGACAGGTAAAATTTACACAGGATAAAATACATCATTGTTGATGATTCTCAAGAAAATAATACCTCGTGTCTGAGCTTACATTTCGCTTTTAAATACTATTTAGTAGCTTTTCTTTGTTTTTTTTAAAATCTTTTCTCATCCCAAGCTCTACTCTTTCTGAGTTACAGTAACTCTATTTTTTGACCAATAAAAATAAACTATGCTTATTCCTAAATCAGAATCATCTTGCATAAGTAGTGAGACTAACAACAAAAATGGTGAATAAATTCAGAAATATTAGAGTAATACAAATTAGTGTATTGGTTGTTGAGTCATTGAAGATGTGATACTTCTTTTCTTGTTTTTCTTATTGGTGTGTGGAGAGAGAGAGAGAGAGAGAGAGAGAGAGAGAGAGAGAGATCCTGCTACATGACCTCAGGCCTGGTTGCTATCCTTTTTCATCAAAGCTAGTATTCTACCACTTGAAGCACAGCTCTACATCTGGCTTCTGGGTAGTTAATTGAATGTAAGAGTTTCATGGACTTTCCTGCCTGGTTTGGCTTTCAATAGCAATCCTCAGATCTCAGCATCCTGAGTAACTAACATTATAGTTGTAAGCCACTAGTGCCCAGTGACACTTGTTTTCTTGTTTCCTATATGTGGGTATATACTCGGCAGGGGTGGTAAAAACAAGAAAATGCCATTCTTGAAAAAGGCATTTATAAGTCATTTTTTAATGTCATACTAACACAATTAAGCTAGGTATAGGTAGCTCTTACCTGTAATCCTCGCAGGGGTAGAGATCTAAGGATCTTGGTGCACAATCAACCTGGGCAGAAAAATCTGTGAAACTTTTATCTTCAATTAACTAACAGAAAGCCAAAGTGGAGGTGTGGCTCAAGTAGTAGATCACCAGCTTTGAACAAAAACGAAAACAAAAATCCTCACTTTGGCAGGACATATACTAAAACTGAAATAATGCAGAGAAGACTAGCAGGGACCCTATGCAAGGATGACATGCAAATTTGTCAAGTGTTCTATATTTTTATATTAAAAAACATAAAATACAAAAATAAAATGAAAATTAAGAGCATGGAGCCCTGGGTTCAAGCCAGACATACACCAGATAATTCCTCAGAAAAGAATTTGCAAATAACTTTCTTAATATTATTTTTCTGTTTTTAATTCTTCCAAGAACAGGTCTTAAGGCAAGAATTCCAGTGAAATTTGTTTGTTAGTAAAGACAAAGCAAACAAACAGCAATAGGAAACAAGCAGGGGAGAAAAGAAGATCTACAGTAATACAAATTATTCAATAACAGGGGAATAATTAAGCTACCTAATACAGATTAATCATATGAATAAATTTTGACAATTGGTATAAAATATGACCAAACTTTCCCATTCCAGAAGTCATTGGTTGAGAGTTGCTGGTCATGTAATAACTCAGTAGAACATCGGGACTGCTACATGGAAATGGAAACACTTTCTAATTTCAATGTGAGTTCTGTGGCGGTTAGATGCAGACATTGGCAGTTGGAAGTTTGGTGGAGCACATTGCAAACTGTAGGTTCTGAATAACATGCACTTCTAGCACCTGATAACAAAATTTTAAAGTAATATTAAAGCAATAACTAAAATGGAGCAAATGCTAGACCACACAGAAAGGCAAAAGGCCAGAAGGCAAAAAACAAAAAAGAAAAATCTAAAATCATCTCAAAATATTAAAAAAATGAAACACTGTTCATACATCAATTATATTGGATACCAGCACTGAAGTATGTAGAGACAATATGATTGATGTGTGTATTAAGATAGATAATGTTAGAACTATTCTCAGTGAAAAAAACTCCATGCTCTTTAAATCAAGTCCTAAAGAAAAATATTTTTAAACTGTTATAGCTTCATCATTAAGTTTTAGACTAAATAATGAAACATAATAAGCAAAATGTAAAGGCTTGAATCAATATTATTTAAAAATTGAAATTCTAATAATAATTATTTTACTTATATAAATTTTTGATTAAAATATGTAAAAGGATAGGTACTATGCTAAGCAAAATTAAAAATAAGGAAAGGGGAAAAAAGCAGATGGGAAGACAGATGAAAGACATGTTAAAATAATATGCAAAATTCTTCAAAAATCAAGAGTAAGTGCATTGTATTCTAGAACTGACATAAATTTTCAAAAGTATAATCCCAGAAGGAACAAACTAAACAATTACATGATAACATGTAAATAGATTTTTTAGAAGTGAGGAAATAATCCACTTAAAGTTCAAAAGCACTGATAGTTTCATGGACGGTGATTTCAGACTAAGAATTTAATTTCAATGCTCTTTAAATTTTTAAGAGAGGTAATGGTTAAATATATTTCATATGAGAATAATACTGATAACAAAATTCAAAGCAGTGTAATTTATTGGCATAAAAACCAGAGTAAGTAAACAAGTGTTAGAAATAAGATATTAATATATGAAAAATAAGTGTATGAGTTAGAACAAAGATTTTAGAATAAAGATTATACGTGTCGGGCTGGGAAGGTGGCTCAGTGGTAGAGCGCTTGCCTTGCATGCCTGAGGCCCTGGGTTCGATTCCTCAGCACCACATGAGCAAAAAGAAAAAAAGCCGGAAGTGGTGCTGTGGCTCAAGTGGTAGAGTGTTAGCCTTGAGCTGAAGAGCTGAGGGACAGCGCCCAGGCCCAGAGTTCAGGCCCCACGGCCGGACCCCCCCCCCCCCAAAAAAAAAGATTATACGTGTTTATGAGAACCTAGTATGTGAGGAAATGACTTGCACATTTTAGGAACTCAACAAATATCAGTGATTTTAGTGACAGTAATGCAAGTGGAATAAAAAAGGGTAATTTCACTAAACAATGTTTATATATACATATATATGTAAATGAAACAAGATCAGAGGAAATTTTATGATTGCCATTTTACATTATAAACAAAATATTCAACCCTGATTTACAAAATAATTGTCTATGGTTAATGTAAACTCTCTATTATTTAAACCAGATCTAACAGTCTAGACAATTTCATATTTAGGTGGTGTGGTATGATGTGTATATATGTGTGTAGTGTGTAAATGAGACAAATTATCAAACAGAAATAATTATACAAGGGTCATGATCAGTTTGTTTTAAAAAAAGACAAATACACATGGCTAAAATACAAATAAATGTTTAACTTCTTATTAAAGAATTGCAAGTGACACTTTTATAACCATCAACGTGTTAACATTTATACAGTTAAATACTGATTTGGTAAAGATGTAGTAACACAATTAATTAAAAGCAGCTGTTATGTGCCCAAATAAGTACATCTCGGGAGCCAATTTTGCAGTATGCATGTAAACTTATATTCCAGAAACTGTTTGAACCAGCAATTATGGTGAGAAATTATCTCATGGTCTTATTAGAAGAGCTATGAAACCTGGGTGCCTGTGGCTCACTCCCGCAATCCTAGTTACTCAAGAAGCAGAAATCTGAGGGTTGCAGTTCAAAGTCAGCCAAGGTAAGAAAGTCTGTGAGACTCTTATCTTCAATAAACTACCAAAAAATTGGAAATGGGGATGTGGCTTAAAGTGGTAAAGCTCAAAGGCTCAGGGACAGTTCCCAGGGCCTGAATAAATGGCAAATTGAAACCTTGAATTTTGTGTGGCAGGTATTTATTAAAAATGGCTCTAGGGCAGGGCTCAAGGTCTTGCTTAGTCACCACATTGACTTTTAAAAATCTGCATGTTTTTAAAATCTAGTTTCTCTTCCAAGTTTAATTCCTGATCTTGTTACAAAATTTTCATTGAAAAACATTTCTAGGGATTTAGGTTGCTAGAAACAGATTCGGTATGATTCTCACTTTTAATCTTGCGAAATTCTGTCTACCAAGTTGTTGGGTTTTATTATTATTACTAAGTTCATCTATAGAGATATGGCTGAAAACACATCTATGATAAAATAAAACATATTCCTTTGCAAGTGTTGTAATTTAAGAGTAAAGAGTTTGTAGAACCTGAACCCAAATACATCTTCAGTAATAGACTTTCATAAATGCAGAATTCAATATAAAATTCGTTATGGTTTCTGCCCATATATTCATTCTAATCACCTACATCTTTGTATATATACTTTTGTGGATTTACTATTTGAATTTATTCTTCTTAGTTATATGGAATCTGTAAATTTTACACAACTTGAACACAAATCAAAATTATAACTTGATAATAAAACATTTGAATGACTGAAAGCTTTGTTAATCTTTGCAAATAGCCAAACAAAAATAGTGTCTAGAATCTAAAGTAAGAAGAAAAACATTTTATAACAAAAACTATTTTATATGGCTCTCTAGAATAATAGATATTAAGACATAATATATCTTCGGCTGTATAGACAGTAAGTATGCAAAATAAATCTGCATACCTAAGGAAACAATGTTCACCAAGAATATGAGTAAGTTCTAAAACATCTATACATGCAACATTTTAAGAAAATAAATGAGAGTGCTAGTTGCCAGTGGCTCATACCTATAATCCTAGCTACTCAGGAGGCTGAGCTCTGAGGACCATGGTTTGAAGCTTGGCCAGGTGGGAAAATCCGTGAGACTCTTATCTCTAAGTAGCAACAACAAAAAGTGGAAAGTAGAGGTGAAGCCAAGTGGTAGAGCACTAGCCTTGAGCAAAACAAGCTCCAGGATTAGGCTCAGGCACTGAAGTAAGCCACAGAATAAGCACATACACACAAAACAAACAAGTACTCCTAAGTCTAAATGGTTAAGAAATGGGTAAATCTCAACAATTCATCTAGTGCCTTCAAAGTGCAGACATAGTTGGATTTTTGTTATATTCCACGGTATGTCAACTCAGAATAACTAAATCCTGGGCCCTATGAGAATATACTAAAGATGAAAGACAAATAATGTAAACATCTTCATAAATACACTTGTATGAAAAAGAAAGTAGAATGTAAAAACAATTTATCATACCAATGAATTGATAACATACTTAAGTTGTCAAATTATAGTGTGCAAACCAAAAAAAGTCATTCTTATTTTTCTAATATTTCAGTAAATAAACCCAGATAGTTGTACTAAGAAAGTTGATTGAAAATATTTTCAAAAGTTATCAAAAGAAAAACCAAAATAACAACACAAAAGTTGAAAAGTGCAGTCAAAAATACTGGCAGTTATTAATAAAATCACCTTGAGTCTTTGACAGACTTATATATCCAACTGTCAACTTGACATATCTACTTAGTTTAATCGACATCTCACATCCAACGTGACCTGAGCTAAAATCCTGAAATCCCCCTCAAAAAAAAAAAATGCTTCCCTTATAGCCTTTGCCATCTCAGTTAACAATTCTATCCTTCTCAGGCTAAAATCCTTGGAGTCATCCTTGATGCCTCCATTTGCCTCACACATCTCATCAGACATAAAATCCTTTTGGCTCTTCAGAGTAGAGGCTGTTGTATACCGCCTAGATTTTCCTTTAGAATGGAAAGATTTATTCCCCAGCTGCTAAAGTGATGCTGATAGACAGCCCTCTTCCACAATCGACTGAGGTGAAGGAATTAGCTTGCTCTGTCATTCTCACTGATCAGTAGAAGGAAATAAAGTTCTATGTCCTTTTCTCCAATTCTGGATAAGTGTGTAGAGTCATCCCAGCTTTAGAGCTCCCTATTCAATTGCATGAGGCTTTTGTTAACACCACAATACAAGCTGACCTTCTCCACTTGCTTCCCTTCCTCCTGACAGGTATTGATGCTAAGAGTACTCCTTGAGGAACTTTCTACCCACTAATTTTCATGTTAAAGTCTGCTTCTTAGAGAATCTTGCCTTTGATAGCTGAAAGAATGACCCAATAGACTAGCTATAAGCTCCACAATCCAACTGGCATTGAAGATTTCAGCACTAATGGTAGGTAAAACATATGCACTATAGAATAAAGTAAAAGATCAACTGCTAAATGTTATTCTGTGATGAACTGTGGCAGTATTGTAATAAAAGGAATTGAGTATCAGGTATTTGAGAAAAATGAGAGAAATCGTTG